GCTCTGTGAAACACACAAAGCCCCCTCCATACTGAGCATGTTTTTGATTTTGAGGGTAATGACCTGGCCACGGAGCCAGTGTGAGGTCCTGTGAGAGAGAAACCCCGCCCGCCAATTCCGCTCTGCAGCAATGATGTCAGCATTAGTAGAACTGCTATTATTAAAGAAATGGTCGTCTCTGTACACACGCAGGTGCATGCATGAGGACATAAATGCATGTGGAAAAACACTCTCACATGTACGCTACTCATTAAATCATAAGTTACATCTTTAAAAAGGGAAATAAGTTCACAATAATTTCAAAATAAAGCCATTATTGTTCTTTGTGTTGATAATAAGTTTGTCTTCTATCAGGAGTTCCTCTAAAACAGTGAAATATCTAGCCTCTGATCATCTTCTCTTCCCAGTGAACAGGTGGAGCAAGGCGGATCCTACAGATAAAATGAAAAGACTGTGTTTGGCCATCCCTCACTGAAAATGTCTGTGTCCACTTTAAGCAGTGGCAGCCTCTATGATGGCCTCTGGGTGTTTGTAATTGATGTCAGACCCCAGTTTAGCAAAGATTCCTGAGGCGGAAGTTGATTTATAATACCAGGACATCATGTTGGAAAAGGTTTCAAAAGAACAAATCAGACATCAGGGAGATATTTCACCACATATATTTGTATAAATGCAGTTACACACACTTTGAAGCCATGCACACATACATGTGGGTGCAACTGTACACAAACACTGACACACACAGACAGGTATTTGCAAAGTTATTCAAGGTATTCGCTCTGCAAGTTCAGCTGCAGATCTTACAGACAGCAGTTTTTCTATGATGTCCATCTTTTTTAAAATATCCTGAATGAAAGATGTTCTGTGAAAGTCAGCAAACAGTACAGCACAGAGATATGTAATCAGTGTTCTTACCCCACAGTTGGCAGCTGTTCATCTCCAAAGCTGAAATCAAGTTTCTCAGTGAGTATCTCCGTCCTATCTGCTCAGATTCGGCTCTTTGTGATGATCTGACCCTTTGGTTAACATGTTATTCGTCTTTTCTTTCCCCTGCTGTGCTCTCAGATGTCTGCGAGCAGAGCTCAGCTGCTTCTCTCACTGCTGACAGCGTCTTGCAGTGCAGCAGCAGTCCGTGCTCACTCCATCCAACCCTCCCTCCCTCCCTCCCTCCTCACCACCTTCCCCCTTATCCACTCCCTTCTCTCTGTCTCATAAACGTCCCAAGGCAAACAACTATCACCCAGAGCAGCACAGCATGTACATACAGAATCTACTCCATTATGTCATGGATGAAGACTTCTTAAATACGAGACACCCAGAGAAGAAGCCAGCAGCTTGGATTCTCAATAAGGGCTGTTGTTCTATGGAAAGTCAGATTAATAAATGGAAGAAGTCATTTGCGCCTCGCTGACCTCAGTTTTGATCTCACTTGTATTTCTGACACTCACCCCTAGATGGGGCCAGAACTGATGTCAGGAGGAGTGTTGGGGGATTCAGTGGCACATAACAGAGGCCACCTTTACAGATCCAACATCATAATAGTATATTAGCATGACTAGATATTTAAAATTAAGTTCTTATTTCAGCCAATAAAGGTGTTAATGCTTGCTTACTTCATGTAACACAGGAGAGGTATTTTGTACAGTGGTTGCAAATGTACAGGTAGATGGATAAACACTGATCAGCCAGAACATTAAAACCACTTACAGGTGAAGTGAATTGATCATCTTGTTACCGCTTGGAAACCCAGAATCCTGGAATTGACGTGGGTAACACTTGACATGGATCACTCATCCAAATACTGTTAGAAACAAAGTACACCCCCTCGTGGCAACAGCATTTCCTTATGGTAGTGGCCACCCCCAGCAGGACAATGTGCCATGCTACACTATAAAAATGCTCAGGAATGGCCCGAGAAAGGTGACACAAAGCTCAAGGTGCAGACCTGGCCCCAAATTCCAATCTGATTGAGTGTCTGTGGGATGTTGCGGTGACCCAGAGGTCCTGTGTTCATGCCTTGACAGGTCAGAGCCAAGTCTGATCCACAGTGGGACTTCTGACTTGTAAAGGCATGGACACAGAACCTCTGGGGTACCGCAATGTCCCATGGATACTCCCGATCGATACCTGACGCTCTTTGTCACATTCTTTGGGCCATGCCTGAGCAGTTTTTATGGTGTGAATTGTCCTGCTGGGACCTCAGGACAGGACCTTCTGGTGAATCTTGTGGTGTCTGGCACCAGGACGTTGGTGGTGGTGGATCCTTTGAGTCATGTGGGTTGCAAGGTGGGGTACCAACATGTCCATGAATGCTTGATCAGATTTGGATCTGGAGATTTTGGAAGTCAGATGGACCTCTTTGTCACGTTCCTTGGGCCATTCCTGAGCAGTTTTTGCAGTGTGCTTTGTCCTGCTTGGGGGCCACTGCCATGAGGGGGTGTGCTTGGTCTCTAACAGGGTTTGTGCGGGTCGTGCTCATTAGGTGGCATCCACATTAATATCAGGACCAAAGTTTTCCCAGCAGAACAATGCATTGTGACGAGATGATAAGTGTTAATCACTTCACCTGTCTGTGGTGTTAATGTTGTGGCTGATCAGTGTAGATTCTCATGTGTATCATTATCGTCCATCAGTGGAAGAAGTATTTAGAACCTTTAAGTAAAAGCAGCAATATCACAGTGTAAAAATACTCCACTGTAAATAAAAATCCTGCATTCAATTCATTCTGCAGCGAGTGTGCCTTTCTTGGTTCCTTTGCTGTGTCTGTGCTTTCTAATTTCAGGGCTGCAGACCTTGATTGAGTGCAATCAGCATCATGTGACACACCTGGGCTCAGTGCAGCCTCCATGTACATATACGACAGAGCAGTCAGTCTGGTGTTGTTATACCTGCTCATCATACCTCTGATTTGTGTCTTTCATTCCTACTTTTCATTAGTTTTTACACCACAACACCCAAACAGCACATTTTCACTCATTCATGCTGTACACAGCTGACACCACAGGTTTCCCCTATCTATTTGGTGACTTGTTTTGATTACTTTTTAGTTAATAAATCACATCATTTGTTAATTTAACTGTGTCTCCCGCTCTCTGTCCACTCTAAGAGTTGGGCTGTGACAGAGTTGGAAAGCAGGAAAAAAAGTTCTGCTTCACACATTTATATAAATTCTTTTGGGCTTTTCTGTAGTGTTTTGTAAAAAATTAGATCATTTATCTCTCCGGGCATCAGACAGTTACTTAACACAAACCATACGAGAGGTTTAGAGCAGAAATGTGTCTTTGGTAGAACTGCCAACAATTCATAGACAGCTGAAACATGACAAGACTCAAATAGACACTGCTGTTTAGTGAGGGGTTGAAATTCAAGCTGGTTGGGAATCAGTGATTTAATCTTTGACTATGCAGTTTAATAGGTCAATCATTAGTTTTTGTAAATTCTTAATCTGCAAAGTAACTTGTAATTATAGCTGTCAGATAAATGTAGTGAAGTGCATTGGGCAAAGAAGTATTTAGAGCCTTTAATTAAGTAAAAGTAGCAATACCATTCATTCATTTTATCACTTATCCTGTTTAGGGTCGCAGGGGAGCTGAAACCTTTCCCTGCTGACATTGGGTGAGAGGCAGGGTACACCCTGGACACCAGACTATCACAGGGCCGACACATAGAGACAGACAGCCATTCACACTCACATTCACACCCACAGAAACCCCCCGACCCATGGCACCACTGTGCCATCTAGTAGACATACCACAGTGTAAATTTACTTCATTACAAGTAAAAGTACTGCGTTCAAAAGCTTAGGTGGAGAAGTAAAGTATTAAATGTTCTCATTCTGCAGAAAATACCACCAGAGAGAAATAATGAAATAATAATGAAAGAAGTATTGATGCTGATTCATCAATGCATAATGCACATATAGCTCCAGGTGGAGCTGGTTTTAATGATTCTTTTATACAGTAAGCAAGTTAAGTCCAGTGGATCAGGTCCATGCCCCCTCCAAAGGGTCACAAGATAAATCTGGACATTAAAGGCTGGAATAAAGGAAAAACAAAGTTCTGCTTCACACACTTATATACGCTTTTTTTTTTTTTTTAAATGACATCATTTCCCCTCTGTGGGCCTCAGACTGTTATTTAACAGAAACTACGTGAGAAGTTTAGGATGGAAATGCGTCTCTAGTGAAATTACAAGCGGCCACAAATAGACAGGTGATTTTTATGGGGTCAAAAGTCAGACAGGTTGGAAACCATTGGTTTAATACTCAGCAGTGCACAGTATTTAATACGTTTATGACCTAATTATCCTTTTTATGTGAATTCTTACACTGCAAAGTAATTGCTAACTACAGCTGCCGAATTTATGTAGTGCACTAAAAAATATATTTCCCTCTGAAGTTAGTAAAAGCAGCAGAAAATGCAAATAATGATTCTCCTGATCAAAATCTTCTGGCTGTCCCGAAATCTCTACTAAAAACTGAGGGTGAACATGCGTCTGCAGTTGGAGCTCCCACTCTTTGGAATCGTTTTCCCTCAGCTATTAAAAATGTTGAGTCAGTGGATATTTGTAGGAAGCTGTTAAAAACTAATTTGTTATGTAAGCACTTTGTTTTATGTGTACCTGCCCCCTGTGCAGTTTCAAGCTCTTTTTATTATTACTTTGCACAGTTTGAATGTCTTTCATGTTTCTAAATGTTGTAATTATTTTACCTCAACGTCTTTATTGTCCAGCACCTTATAACTCTTGTTTCAAACTGGGCTTTATAAATAAAATGTACTTACTTACTGAGTCTAAGTACCTCGAAATTGTACTTCAGTACAGCACTTGAGCAAATTATTTAATTGTGGCTGTCCAATCCAGTTGTATCTCCTCTGCCATCCTTTCTGGGTTGTCCTTTGTACCCACACACCCAACATAAAAAATTTTTGTTACCCTAAGTTGCCGCAGTTTCACAGCAGCCCTACGACTTCGTTAAAACTCACACAGCAGCAGCAGCCATGTTGTGTCCAAACAGAATGGGTCTTTATTCAGGAAGTGAAAGAAAAAAAAGATTGTAATCAACACCCCATTTAAATACAAAACCAACAAAAATAAAAATAAACATGATATTCATTTTGCATATCAAAGAACCATTCAGTAATAATTACAATCCAAACACCTCATAAACCACTTTTGTGAATCTATACACAAACTCTGATTTAGAAATTAGTCACTTTAACAATAAAATTACAAATATTTAGCTTTAAAAATAATTAAACTCAAAATAATATCTTAGCAATTAGCATCTTAAATTTATATATAGTGTATTTCCACATAAAAATACAAAATAATACCAATGACATTTAAATATGAAAAATTATTCCAAGAACTCTGCTACTATTAAACGAAATAAAAACGTGGGATAAAACAAGATGAAATGAAATAGAAATATGCATGAAAAAGTCTCTCCTTTTGTTAGCAAAACACTATCCAAAATAACTACAATCATTTACATCAGTACAAAGATATCTGGATTTAAAAATAGTTGCAATGAAAAAACGGGGTTTATTTTTTTTCTGACAGTAAAAAATGACACTGTGGATCAGAAATCTGCAAAATATGCAATGAAAAAAATAAATCTGCATTAAAAAGGTTTACACTGTAGTTCTTACTTTTTATACAAACATTAGAAACAGTATTGCACATCACAACACAGATTCGAGGTTAGTCAGCCTTTCAAAATGTGTTATATTCAAGTTTCAGAGCATCTACGAGGACAGGCAGCTGGGGCCTCGATGCAACAGGGGAGAATCTCAAGTGTCTTCCAAGAATATAATAAAACCTTCATGTTTCCTTCCTTCAAATGAAATGTGTCATGTGTATCAAAATAAGAATCAACTGTATATCAAAAAACTTTGATGTTGTTACTAATGACATGATTCTTTGTCTTTGAACAGAACTTTTGGACGTAATTAGCACAGGGGGAGAAATAAATTGTATAATAGTCCTATTTAAATAGAAAAATACAATCAAAATCAAATAGTTTTTTTTTTGTCTACAAAAATAGTGAAATAAATATGATTTTTACAAAAACAAAGACACATACAGAACAAAGTAACAGTGTTCAACATAGAAAATAGAACCTCACAAAAACAGCACGAGTCAAGTGTTACAGGTGACGATATTCAAACATGTTCGCATCATGAGAACTAAAGCCACGGTGAGACGACGGGAGCTCGCTCTTTAGACTTTCACCTCCATCAAATGCCGGTCTGACTCCCCGTCCTCACGACACCCAGACTACATTAGAATATATTAGAAAATATTGGATTCCTGCTCTACTCATACAGAACATAGATAACTTAAGACCACTGCTTCACGCTACATCTTAAATAAGTAATCATGAAAAAATAAAAATTTAATAAATCATCTGTAGAATTATAAATAGGTGGAGGTTTCAGAGAATCAGCACTGAAATCACGTAAGGGGGTGGATAAGAAATAAAACAAGCGGGGATATAGAAAAGTAGTGCATAATATATATATTATAAAAACATGTTGAAGGGCCAGTGATGGGTAAGTAGTTGACACAAACAAATTAAATGATCTGACTCAACTATAAGTAAATAAACGTAGAGTTCCATTACGGATTTGTAACAGTACACACTTGACGCCTGAACACCGATACTGAGGAGCACACACCGGGGCGTGGAACACAAAAACCACGACGACACGAGAGCGACATACTTGTACAGTACCAAATGGATGGCTGGGCCACCATCCTCATGAAAAGATTGTCCCTAAATATTTTTTTTAGAGTAATTCAAGGGTGGAAATCAAACAACACAAACAAGGAGAGGAGAGTTTCATCTTAAGCACGCCAAGAGACCAAGTGTCATCATCCTTGTCGTAGAAGCTCGACGAGGAGATGCAGAGATACTTTTGTCTTTTTCACAGAGCTGCAGCCAAACAGCATGAAAGCCTGACTGATTCAACGACTCATTAAGAGAGTCCATTTTCCCAGTTAAAGCTACAGTAGGTCACTTCTTAAAGATTTGTTTTAGTTGCCGAAACGTTAACTATATCCTGACAGGAGTGCATGAGACAGATCATTTGTGATAAAATCATGTTCCTAAAGGTCCTCATAGTGATCCTAATGGCACTGGCAAAATTCCACCATGCCTGACTGAAAACAACCAATCAGAGCCAGGAGGAGTCTCCAACACATATCAATCACTGCTTGGCCCCCTCCCCCGTACGAATAAGTGTTTCCTTGGATAACGAAGGCATGACCGGCCCTACTTGCACATTTAGTCCATTGGTTTTTTTTTGGTCTGAATTTATTGCACGTCTAAAAATAAATACAACTTCATGTGGCGTCAATCATGTTTGCAATCTGAGTCCGAAACTTTCCTCCACCATTAAAATTTTCAGAACATGTTCGATTTTTCTGCATTTTTCGCATCTGTCAGAGCCTTTAGAGACATTTGACCGAGTATCAGTGAAGAAAATGTGGCGGTGGGACACACCCATGATAAGACAGAGGAATGGGGCACACGCACAGAATCATTTGAATTTCTATACGACTCATCGGTTTAAATGTTATTAAGGCTAAAAGGTACACATAATTAAGGGCGGGGCCGCTTTCCCAGTCAGACCCACCCCTTGCTCCACAGGGTCAGCCTTTTGCCCAAATAACCGAGATGGTGCCGGCTGAAATGCTGAACTTGAGGCTTCAAAATGGGACTCCACAAACCAGTGGATGCTATCCTAGGAAATCTAATGTCGCCTCCTCATGTATGCTGTCACGCAGTCAAGCTCAATATCTTCAGCGTGTGGCTTCAAGAGAAGATTTGCAACCATGATGGCTGAGAACACCAGCAATGAAAAAACTCCTTTACCAACAAATATGCACAAGGCAAAGGTGAGTAAATGGAAGAAGTCCACTGTCCGTCTTTTGTTTTTAAAGTGAAAGCAACTGAAATCAAACTCAGAGCCAACTAAATTTGTATCAATGTTTGAGTGTACTTGGATGGAGATGAATGATCTTTGCAGAGGCCTGTCACTGCATCGCGCCAGCAAAGGAACTAAAATTAGCGCGTCCACCTGGATGTCGTACTTCCATCACTGCTGATCAGAGCCAGAGCCAATAAAAACCTGTGACTACTGCAGAGTCATTTGACCCGGGAGTGAATGCAGATTGTGAGCCAGATGTTAGTGGATGTTTGTGGGTGTTTTGTGCAGTGGGAAAGGGGCTTCAGAGAATCCTCCGAGCTCCTATTGGTTGTTTTTGTTCAGATGCGGTGGATTCATGCATTGCAGTGCCATTTACAGATTATCTGTCTCATGTACTACTGTTAGGATAAAGTGACACTTTCAGCAACTATGACAAAAGGTTATTTTTTGTAAAAGTCACCAACTGTAGCTTTAAGTCTTCCAAACTGATCAAGTCTTTTGTTTGGTCTGCCGGGGCGACACTGTCTCGGATTGACCTTTGGAGCCACACAGAGATGCGGGATAGGAAGGGTGAAGGCAGAGTCATTTCAATGGTTAAATTCTCCTCTACAGAATCTGTTGGTAACTAAACTAGAGCCTCAGTCTAGACTAAAAACAGTCACACAGCACGCACAGGGACGACACAAACACAAACCACTGAACACCACTCTGCTTCTCAACAGGAGTTTTTTTTTTGCCATACAAGCCACCGTGTCACAAAATGATGGCGTCCACTAAGTCTACAGTAGAACCAATATCACTTTTTGTATCGTTAAGTATGTAAACAGATCAAACAACAGATAAACATCAATGCATGCAAGTTTAAATATGTTTTTTTTTTCAGTTATTTAGCTTTGTCTGATTTTTTTTTCCCTCGTAAGCATCTGTAATAGATGTTCATGCTACTCGCTATAGAATTTATTTTCTTTAATTATGATTTCAGTGGTTTGTTTTTTGTTTTTTTCTCAGTGTTTTTCCTGCATGCTAGTTGTGTAGCTAAGCCTATTGTCGTAACATGCACTTTCCATGGCAATGGGGGCCAATAGTGGTTGAGTGCATACTGCATTTCATTTTACATGATTCTGGTTTATAAATGGCATTAAATATAATACCTACACATCTATTCATATATATGTATATATAGCAGCGAAGCTTCTAAAATAGCTTGTTTAAGTATAAATGTTGAATACGTTTAGCAGAAACCAGATTTAGTATTTTGAGGTATCACTCTATGGGTCAGTGTGAGCGCAGAAATAACCCTATCGTCTTTTTGTTTTTAATAAACTCTCTAACAGGAAGTAAGAGCCCATGGCAACGTTAAAAACAACCGTTTGTTTTGCGTCAGAAAATGTGTCAATTTGTATGCTTCCTATCTTTTTGCTACCTTTGGTTAATGACCTGGGGCCGGTGTCAACATTGGAGAATCAAGGTTTTCCCAGAAACAAGTGTGCACTACACGCACTGTTGGGGTGGCTAGCAGCAGACAGACAGACAAGCTGCCCCCATGCAAAAAACATTCCCATATCTACTTTAAATCTCACATACAAAAATAATAATAATAAAAAAACCTACAAAAATCAATCTCTTTTTTTAAATCTCCTCTTAGAAAAGATGAAAGTACCACAAAAGAGTTGTAGAGTTGTCAGCCTGAGATGTGAGGGGGGTTTTGGTGAAAAACTGAGGCTTGTGGTGTTTGGCTGCTACAAAAGATATATAGATATATATAGTATATACTGTATAGTGTTACGTACTCGATTATACTGATAGCTTAGGAAAGCAGGAGAGGCAGAGCGATACTCTTTTTCCTGTTAGCCAGTGTTTCGTTCCCCTTCCCTCTGACTGTCGCCATGGCCGCGGTCGCATCTCTAGTTCCAGCGGAAGTGAATCTGGCGCGGGCGGTCGGCTCCCTCTTTGACCAGCGGCTTGTGAAACTCTCGTCCTGCGCGGGAGTGGATGTTGGCCCAGCAGAATTCGCAGTAGTACTGCAGACAGGTGACATTAGCACAGAAAAAGGGAGCAAATTTCCCTCCGCAGCGTGCACCCTGACACTCATCACAGAGCTGATCATCCAGGACGTACGGCTTCACCTCCACCTGCATGCACACATTTAAAGGAGACATGGGAAGTGCATTAATACATACAGTAAAACTATATGTGAGGGTTCATGAAAGGACAGGGCTTACAGCAGCAGAGACTGGGGAGGAAGCTAATTCAATCAGCTCTAATAAGCTTTGGCTCACCATAGCAACAAGCTGCTGCTTATCGCACACATGCTCGCATTCATAAACTGTGTGAATGACACATCCTGGTGACGACTGAGTCATATGCACTTTATGAAAAACAGCAGAATATGAGAACTGTTAATGAAGGGGAGGCTGTACCCGCTTGTCAATGTCTCCGTGCTGCAGCTGGACAAATCTCGCACTGATGGCAGCAATGTAACTCTGCTGATTGGAGAAGGCCACTCGCCCCGCCCCCTTGGGGTACTTGAGCTCCGGATCGGTGTCAATGCCGGCGTAGCACACTCCACCGTAGAGACGATCCATAATCATGGCCAGCTCAACTAGTCAGAGGGTGAGAAGCTGTTAGACTCTTGTTGGAGATGGAATTTATACTCATGTGACACCCATCGCAGTTAATCGTTGATTGCTACATGCACATGTCTATCAAGGCTGCAAATCTGAAGTACTTTCTGAACAAATAACTGATATGAAATTATAAGAAAAATGTGTAATTACTTGCTCTCAGGGGGCGAGGGACACCTCCCACAAAGATGGTCTTGCGGGGATCAAGGGGCTGAGATCCATCCATCACAAAGTCACTGTCGCTCAAGTTCCAAGGTCGAATTTGCACCTGAGGTCACAGTCACATCTAACTTTAATTCCACTCTCTCTTTATTCAGGAATAAAAATGAAATGGCAGCTCTGTGTCTGTTTAGTGTGAGCAGGTGATGTCTGACTCACAGGTTTGTCCTTGATGGTGGGGCTGGAGACACACAGGTAGAGCTTCCCGTCCTCCTCCATGCAGGCTTCAATCAGAGCCTGCACCGAGCTCTCTTCCTGGAACAGCAGGAATGCATATCCTAGGAAACACACACACATTCACAGCCTCAGTGCGTGCAGTAAACAGGCTGTGCTCAAAATTCAATACTAACATGCTATTTAGTAAGCTGAAACAGTATGTGAGATGTACTGAATAAATACTGGACACTACACTGGCATAAATATCCCACAATGCAGTGCAGTAGACAACAACGATCATAATGGACAGATCTGTAACATTAATTACGCTTCAATTTAAGTTTTCGTATGTAAGAAGTGTGAGGTTTCACATGCTAGACATAATGTGTTTATAAAAAGGTATTTAAATTGCCGGTAGAGCTGAGGGTGGCACGGGTTACCATGGATACGCACCTCCAACCGGCAAGGAGGCTCTCAGAAAGTGATGGTAATTATAGCTCAGTGCATCCAAAAAGACACATACTACTGTTTATTCACACAAAATATAAGATAGCAAGACTCTGAGAAACACCTTAGAAAAAACCTTCACCAATTGGAGATTTCTGCAAGAATGCATTTTTGGCAATTGGATGGTGAGCACTTTTGTTCTGAAACCCTGTATTGTCAATATACCTATAAAGGTCATACATCCTCTGAGAGCCCGAGGTCTCTTGTTTGTGATTGTAAGGTTTCATGAGGCTGTTATTATCCTCGAGGTCGCAATAGTTAATTTTATACAGTGAGGTTTTTATACCGCCTTGAGAGTCCGTATAAAAGGTACAGTCGTAGGTACAGTCGTATGTGATGTTTTGACGACATGTTATGTATTTGACTCGCCACAGGAGATTTTAAAAAGCAGCTTGTAGCAGTTAGCAGCTAACTCAAAGAGGAAAAACAGCAGCCAGATATGTCCACAAGTTGGGAAAAAATAATGAGGTCCAGGAGCTTCTTATCCTCTGAGCAGAGGACGAGATAGGCTGCTACATAACAGGGACAGTAAGTGATTGTTGCTGCCATGTTATGCCATTGTTATTATTTATAAAGTGCTGCCGACTCATATGTTATATGTCACACTAGAGGCTGATGCTGAATTCCTTCCTTTAGTCTCCGTGTTCAGTTATTCTTCTAGTTCCATATGATACCAATTTCTTCACTCTAGCTTTATAACACTGAGCCCGCTGCAGTCTTTGAGGGACAGTAATGTCGACCGAGGGCGCCGGCGTCCTAGTGGAGTGGAAAAGGTTAATATGCTGTTTTTGTCAGTACCTTTAGGTGGAAAGTAGGATTTGCTCTCTGCTTTGTGTGGCCAGTCCACCACCAGGTGACCAAAGCGGCGGAAGCTTGAGGTTATTTCATCTGAGGCGAAGAGGCAGAGAGAAACAACAGACAAGTGAAGACAAACAAAGATGGCTGATAGAACAGAAGAAGGCTGAAAGGCTGTGTTATCCTCACCTTCATCTATGTCAGGGGGCAAACCTCCCACAAACACCTTGCGGGAGAAGCGCTCGATGCGTTCCCCGTTTTGGTGGGGGTAACAGTTGGGGGAGCCGAGGACTCCTGGGACGCCCTGGTTGCCGTGGCCATCATCGAGGAGATTGTCATCAATAGGGAAGAGGGAGGAGCGGCCTGGTTGAGAGGAAAAGGCAGTCAAGGCTACAGCAGCAAGTGTTCAGCATTCACACAAACACACACAAGCAGAAACACAAATCACAAACGTGTACCTAAACATATCTGCCGCTCATTTCTGCAACATGTTTTTTTTTTTAAAGATATTTTTTAGGGCATTTTGCCTTTAATAGACAGGACAGGGGGAGAGAGAGAGGGGGTGACATGCAGCAAATTGCCACAGGCTGGACTTGAACCCAGGCCGCTGCGGCAACAGCCATGTACATGGGCCGCCTGCTCTACCACTTAGCCACCGACGCCCCTCTGCAACGTGTTTTAAATGGGACAAATCAGAGAGGTTGTCTGTAGAATTGTGTTTCTGCTGTTATTATTACAGTTTAAAGTGACGATTATGTACAAGTTTGTTTGTCATGTGTGCTCCGCTCTGAGCAGGGTGGCAGATGAAGCAGGTGTGGAAATGCAGGCTGTGTGGCACAAAGCTGTTAACATTGCTGAGCAGTACGGAGCCCCAAAGTGTTCCAAATATTTAATATATAAATAAATAGTCCTGTTAATTAATTGCATAAATATATATAAATTAAACAGTTTCAGAGAAGTTCTTCAGGAGGTTTTTCTTTGTATTTCTAATTTTGTATTCATAATGATTTTTTTTTTTTTTAATGGCATTCCCAATGACACTTTCAATTTATGCAATTTCTTATTTAATACTTGAAAAGTGATGAAATAACATCTCAAAATAAGGAGTATAATAAATATTTTCTAATTACTGGCTCATTTGTATTTTTTTTACACAATTTATTTATATGAATATCTATTTTTAAATCGTCTCTTTATTTATCATATATTATAATATTGAAGGCTTTGGGTCTCCATAGAGCAGAGGCACAAGTGCTGTAGTGCTTCAGAGAAATGTGACCAAACCTGAAACCCCAGACATCATGCATGTCTGGATACTAAAACAATAGAATCATATTTTTGTTGTTCTTGGTGATGGTCAAAATAGGAGCAAAATTTAAGCTTAAAGATTGTATAGCAACGCTTCAAAGAAAACCCAATGTCTTCCTAAAAACAGAAAGATAATTTGAAGTCCAGACTCAAGGCCTCAGTTTGGTATTCATTCGAGCAATAAAGCATGCCATAAGAGAATAAGCCACAAGGAAAAGACATGTTGTAAAAAGCTCAGTTTACCTCGACGTCTCCCATAGCTCCTGGCTGCATGTAAAAAGTACAGAGTACAAGTTTCAGCTGCGCACACATTCCAAAAAGACGTATATGTAACCTCTCTGGACTTTAATCTGCAGAGTTACCTCATGACCGTCTCTATATCATTTCAGTTAAATAAGCTGTCAGTCACAGAAAAGTGCTCCAACTGACTTGTTAATACTTTAAACAGCTGAGCTTACATTGTCCTGAGACTCAAAACAAGATTTATATTTTTCTGGCTAAAAAAAAATAATAATTTCACTGTTGTGAAAACTCATTTAACTACTCCTTAGACACTCAACTTTCCCGTTTCCGTAAAATGTGCCAAATCTGATGGAAGTCATTTGGAAAACTAGAGAAATAAACTTGTCAATGTTCAACTCCACATATGTTACATCACGGAAAAGCCCTGGACATCCTCTGTCGGGGATGACAAGGCTCATTTCAGCAACATGTTCGGCCTCAGAGACACGAGCCAAAAAAAACTCCACCAGAGGATGAAAATGAATCGCTCATTCCTGGGTCTCAGGAGGAAACAGCAAATATCAGAGACAACAAAAAGCACGCTCGCAATTAATTGCAAATGCTGTCTGACCCAGATTTGTGTCTTGTTGAGACAGTTATAAAACAAGACTTTATTTTTGACACCAACATGACGTGTGTCCACATGTGAGGACAAAATAAAAAGGAGTCTGCAGGGCTACAATTACTCTGAGTGGCACTGAAAATTTACATCTTAATGAAAGAGTGGAACAAAGTCCTGTTTGTGGTGCAGACATAGTCCTCAGGTACTCTGTATAACAATGAAAACACTCTTCATCATGTGAGCGCCGTTGCAAAGCATTAGTGTGGTAGATCTCGATTTTAAATAAAAAAGCACAAAATCAACAGTGGCAGTTAAAAGGTTTGAAAATGCTTCACTGATGGTACTTTACAAAACATAAAATACAATATCATAGCCAAGAGTGTCACTACACAGACATTTTAATCACAAATGGCACTTTATGTGACAAAAGAAGGTGAAGATAATAGTAGATATTCTCTTTTCTAAACCAGACCAACCACATGTCACCTAGTGTGACTCTATTACTCCACTGTGAGTCTGGTGCCTGCATCTAATGAGGCTTAAAGGCCCAGTGTGTAGGATATAAGGGGATATATTGGCAGAAATGTAATATAATATAAAAAGCGCATTTTCTTTAGTGTATAGTCACCTAAAAATAAGAATTTGTCTGTTTTTTATCATGTTAGAATGAGGTGCTCGTCCACTGAGATCACCATTTTGCATTGCAATGTTTCTACAGTAGCCCAGAATGGGCAAACACTGACTCTAGATCGGGCTATTCGACTTTTTCGCGTCGGCAACCACAGTTTGCAGCCCCTCTCCGACAAGAGCGTTGGTTAAAACATCAATTTTTTTCGACATAAAACTGCTTTATTGTGTGTTTTTATCAGCTTAAATCACCAGGTCTGTTTGTTTTGGAGAGGAAAACATTGCCACAGATAATTCAGCTCCTGATAAATACCACCTGAGCATCTGGATCTTATGTTATCAGAGAAAAAGGGTGGGCACACATTAGCAGGTGCTGGGCTAGCGGCATGTCACAACATCAGAGAAACACTGATTTATTTTTTAATGTGAAACTGCTTTATTCAGTTTTTTTGATGTGGATAATTTGACTCATGGTAAAAAATCTCCTGAACATCTGGATCAGAAAAATGTGAGCACACATTAAGTTATCAGAGAAAAAATGTGAGCACACATTAGCAGGGGCTGGGCTAACGTCCTGTCTGCAATGTGCCGAACGGCGCTGGAAAAACATTGATTTGTGACGTTACGCTACTTTATTCAGTGTTTTTACTGGTTTTAATCACTGGGTACGTTTGTTCTGGAGAGGAAGAGACCTCTGTGGATAATCTGGCTCCTGGTAAAAACCTTCTGAACACTTAAGGAATTCTAACCTGGAGTTTCAGCTGGTTGCAATCTGCAGTCCTCACCACTAGATGCCACTAAATCCCCCTAAATCTCCCACACTACTCCTTTAAGAGTAACAGTGGAAGCATCATGAAAGATGTAGACACAAGGTGCGTATCCTTCCAGCTTTTCTGTATAAAAAATTGAAAATGTGCACAAAAAAAAAAAAAACAGGATCAAAAGAGGAAATTCAACTCAAAATATGACCCTTGGATGAGGTGGAAATGTTGGAGAAACCATAACAGTAAATGCAACAAAGTGCAATGGACACAGATTCAGGGAATAAATCATGATGTACATGAAGCATGTGATTTTAACGTCTACTGAAGCTGACACATTAATTTCCATTTGCTAATTTTCTGCAAATTTGAATCAAATTTTCTCTACATTTGGACAGAAACCAGCGACAGAGGGAGATGGTGCTAAGAGATAATTACCATTGAGCATGAGTAGGCCGTCAGCCCCGGGGTTAGGGCATCCCACACGGCCTGACATGAGAAATAGAAACACACACATGTCGCGCGCGCGCACGCACACACACACACACACACACACAGAAATAGGGATGAGACACAGAGCAGATGGAGAGGACAGGGCGAGGCCAATGTGTGTACATGGGAGCAAGAACACACACACACACACACACAAACACACACACACACACACACACACACACACACACACACACACAAACACACACACACACACACACACACACACACACACACTAAAACCACAGTGCCCGCCTGTAAATGTGTTACAACAGCCTTCTCACGTCGACAGCGAGCACGGCAGTCAGCAGAGGGAACAAAGCTCTTCTTATCCCCAAATTTACGTTGAATTGTTAATACAAGGAAACAGAGGCAGAATGAATCACTTCCTTTGTTTCATCAACAGTAAAACAGTTCCATAGAAGTCTTTAGACCAAACAGATCATTTCCTTGTCAGCTTCAATAACTGAACTTAACTTAAGGTTTTCAATGAAATATCAAATCAACCTGAAATGCAATATTCTACTCAAACATTTGTACGGCTGAATCAGCTTGTTATTTAATAAATTAGTTGGTGGATGGAACATTGATCTGCACCAAAAATGATACTTGATGAATCATTTAAGTCTTTCATGAGCAAAAATGCAATTTAAAAGTGTCAATTTTGGCTCTGAGGAATTATGATGGACATTTTATTGACCAAAAGATTACATACACACAAATAATTGCCATGTTAATAATGAAAATGATCATTATTTGTGTCTCCAGTTTCAGTGATATTTAAGTTAGACTGTGATTCATCCAGCTGTTTTGTTTTTGATCCCTTTATAATCTCTGGTGAACGTTTTGTTCTGCGTCAAGTTGAAGGGGATCATTGGTGATATTCAACCTGGACTTTTTTCTCATGTTTTTGTGACTAATGGAAACAATAGTTTTTGAAATTGGTCCAGTACTGAGCATTAAACTTGTGGCATTTGTGCACAGTTTATGTCCCAAAGGTCTTGTTTTGCCACTGACAAGATCAGATCAATATTCTAAGTGTCTGACAACATTATGGAAAGGATCCCTACAGCGATAGACTTTTTTGTTAAAGAGTAAGATCCTTTTTGTTTAACCAGAAACAGCCCTAAAACCGTCATCGGCAAACCCACCAGACTCCATTTAAATTAACAGCATATTTTCACATCTAACTGGATAAATTAAGGATTTATTTTGGCCAAATCAAAGATGGTGGTTGTTGCAACAGTGAAAAGAAGACTCAAGATGACGTTTCTGAGTCTTATGTTGTTTCTGTCGACTTTGAATAAAGTGTGTTTTAAGATAATAAAATGACTGTTTATTTAAATGCACTCTGGTGTGTTTTGTGATAGTGATTTTGAGGTGGCTTCTGCTTATAAAAAAACAATCCTTCCCTAATGTTGTCAGACACTAAGAATAACAATATGAGCCTGTCAGTGACAAAACAAGCACTTTTATTGGACGTATATTGACAGTGGACAATTTCCGATTAAACTGCGGCCTGTTTTGCTGCTGTCAGCTGCAGCCCTCTTGCTCCATCTCAAAAACTGTTGTTCCCAATAGTCACCTAGACACAAAAACATGGGAATATAGTGTTAGTTAGCCTTTAATTATTCTATCTGGGAGTGGACGTTTTTTGCTGTTTGCCAGTGTGGCACCAAAGCAGCTTTGAATGTTAAATAGCACCAGTAAGTGCTATTAAAAAAGAAAAACCAAAGAAAATATAGGCTTAATTTAAAATAATAACTTGCAGCACTTTTATTTTTTGGTTTATAAGGTCCTGTATTTTGGAGCTGCTAGTCCGAATACTGTATACTGTTGTGTTAGCTATGGCAATGCTATAAATGGCAGAGCCCACCCTCGCAAGCCTCCCCTCCCTCCCGTCTCCTCTCTTGGCTGTCATACGCAGTGTGTGAAAGTGTGATCACGTCTAAAATTAGTCTAGATCCCCCTCTCTCTGCTGTGCACACTGGCCCATGTCCTCTCCATCTGCTCCGGCAGGAAAAACAAGAAACTCGCCTGAGAAAGGAGGGCACAGGTTGAGTCCTGATTTTACCAGGGTCTTCATGAGACTACAAATAACCAAACCTGTTCAAGAATTGTGTGCCTCTACACATATGCCAACAAATAACAACTGCATGCATGGTTTGTTGTTATTTCTGGGTCATAGTTTGAAGTGAAAGCGTAGCTGGCCTGTGAGGCTGTAAATGAGCTACAAGCAGCCGTCTCCAGGAGAGAAGGGTGAGAGCGGTGCAGTTATCTGACACTGCTCCTCTGATGTCCAGCAGCTGAGCCCAGGAGGCCGGGGCAGTGTCACACTACACTACATTCTCCGCTTGCTACTGCCAAACCATGAGGAGAAATTCAAAAGAAACCCAGGTCTATATATATCTTTTAGTTTAAAAATGACAAGTCATGTGTGATATGCACAGGCCTGAAAACATCTGTGCCTAATTGGATACATTCACAGCAAAGGAAAAGCACCATCACTTCTCTCCTCCACTCTTTACTCAGCTCTGTGTGCAGCTCAGGTTAAGTAGCGACAGGATCAGAGCTGGAAGGTCATGTAAATGTGCAGCTGGTGGCAGAAGTATTAAGCTCTCAGCGGGGACAAAATAAGCTGGTGTGCGGAAAAACAACACAGCTCTGGGAGCAATGGGCCTGTCACTTCCCTGCACCGAGTCACTGCATGCGATATCAGGCCTCCTCACCGAACACGATCACCTCCCTTTGACCCCCCACCCCCCCAAACGTAGATAGAAAGTGAAAGGCAATCTTACCTTTCATCGGATCCTGCTCGGCCCGCATGATGTCGATCAGAGAGCTCTCCAGGGAGTGCATGTTCAGACTGTCATACATTCTGGTGCGGTCCTGAAAAACACAGATGTGAGGGTTTAATATCATCCAGATATCAGAGGTGACAATACACACGTCATGATGCGTGTCCTCACGTTTCTAACACACTTTTGTGATTTGGCTTATGAACAATAAAGCCTCTGAAGTGCGGGTATTTGGCTTAAGATGTAAGAGATTTAAGGGAGTGATTAGCGCACGCCTGGATTAACATTCCTTCTGTATTTATTCACTTCAGGGGTCTGAAGGTATATTTGTGAGCAGCCTATAGGACAGATTCCCAAGCACGATCTCTGGATTTGTTCCACAGACAGACGGAGAGAGAATGGAAACCAAAACCAGGAGTGGCATTTAGCCACAGAGCTGAGATGGAGGTTATGAGCTCATCAGTGGGCCGGTGAGATAGTTCTTTTTCATGATCGACTGTGACAAACTCATATGGTAATATTCTGGTGACTAGCATACCGTGGAGCGCCTATCCTATTTTACCACACCCAGCATAGCGCAGGGTAAAGGTCATTTCTTCATACTTTGATAGTGACGGATCATAGGTTGCTTAATATGCTATTTCTGTGCTTTCCCATTTCCAGATAAAATGGACAGTTTGATGGCTGGAAATATAATCCAGGAACTACATATACTTATACTACCTGTATAAAAGAGTTTAATAACAGGATCGTTAATCAATCTTAAAACTAAAAGAGCAGAGTTCTCAACATGTTTCATAGTCAGTAAGTCATTTTTATGACAGGTCAGTGTTTCCAGAGGAACATAAAAGACAACTCGACAGATTTAGCGCTGCACTCCTCGAACAAAGTCAGACACATAACAGACAGTTCAAAAAGGATCAAAATCAATGCAGTAGGACCACAGATATGCTCTATTTTATTCCAACTTTACCCACAATGCAACTGGAGTCAGTTTAGTTTACTGTACTGATTCAGGAGTTATATGCTTGCAGCAGCTAATGTAGCCACGAGCCGCTAGCGTCAGACAGAAGGAGCGGGCTACGGAGTAGAGGGGTTTTATTATTGTCACAGGTGGAGTGGGTGGTCAAAAAACAAACAAACAAAACAAAAATGTGTGGGTCCTGGAAATGAATTATCATGACGCATGGAGACATCAACAGGTGAAGTAGGAAAAGATAAAGGCAAAACAAAAAGAAAGCAAGGCGACAGACATTTGGATTAATTTCTCATCATAGTAATAATAATAATAATAATAACTGAATCCTAGAGACCCCAGAATAACTGTAATTATGAATGTCATTATGCACTGGAGCCTACTTTTGCAACTTATTACAGACAGGTATGCACATCTTTCTTAATACCACAATAAATCAACATTTTTTTAATAATGTTTTAACGTTTTTTTCTGCAGGACAGGAGAAGACTCAAAGAGTGTCTCAAATCGTGTACTTCTGTACTAATATTTTGAGTGCATAAGCGCGTTCACACTGAGAAGTATGGAAAAATGCAGTGCACTATAAGTACCCGCATGGTGCACTCAAAACGGTCAAGATGTTGAGTGTGGAACTATGGACACTTCTCGCCCTCAATGGTCGCCATCTTGGCTACGCAGCAGAAGGGGAGGGACCACTTTTCAAACTGGAAATGGTGGCCGAGGACTGTGCGACCGTGAACGTCACTGCATTGTACAAATACATGTGTTTTTTGCACTAAGTAAGCACCACTATACTGTTGTCAGGTTTAAGCCAGGAGTATGTTTATTGGGTTAATTTAGCAGTCTGTAATGATTTGGTACTGTGAACGATAACACGAATGCTAATGCTAGTTTGCTAACTAGCTAATTTGCAGTCGTCATTTCCGGTAAGTGCACAACAGCCATGTTTGGTTTGAGACAACACTGCCCCGTAGAAATTTGTGCACTACGCCAATGAGTACATAGTGCACACAGTATACTACATGGAAGTTTACTAATGGAAGTATGTGATTTGAGACACAGCATCAATCTATTGGTAATCTATATATCGTGCGGGCATGTATGATCAGAATGTTTGCGGGTGTGAGCAGGAGCTGACACACACCCTATGGAAATGGGCAGGAAAAGATCACACACTCTGCTGGAGCGGGATTAGGAAAAGAGTCCTGTGTAGGACTCTAGCACAGGAGTTGGATAAACTAATTTCTTTCTAACTCCACATCCCGAGATTTATGTCTGATTTTTAGACTACAGGGGTAAATTTATGAAGAGAGGAGTGATCTTCCTGTCTCTCATGCACCTAAAATAATGTGACAATTAGTCACTTTGTTAGCACGCAGGTCGCACATTAGCCACAATAGCTAGAAAAAAGAAAAAATTACAAGGCAGCTAAGCTGTTTTTTTCAGTTTTCAGGTGATTTGCAAAACTTGTTAAAGATTTGTGACATACCAGTATGCAAATTTTGAGACTATTCCAATCGCTCTCTGCTGCCTCAACATAATGATATGCCAACAGTGTATCTGACTACACCTCAGTTTAAAACCTACACGCCCATGGGCGCAGAGTGGTGCAAGTACATTCGCTTCTTAACCAGGGGGGCGCTTGCTGTAAAAGCTATAACGGTTGGTATGAAACTAGCAGTGACAGTTGCCCTGTGTGTCGCATTGCGCCGGGTGTAAGATAGGGCCAAAGTCTTCAGCCCCAGCTGACTCAAGTGACATTACTTGAGGCAATTTATCAGACTGAAGTCACAAGATGCTGCATACATTTCCCACATATGCAGCATTCCTCCCAACATCTGTAAACAGACATTTATATGTAAAATCGGTGGGGTCAGACTGGATGTGTGTCCTCAAAAAGACTTCATTTGTCTGCCAGTATGAAACCATTAACCATACGGATGTGGGAATCATGACGTTAGGTCAGTATTCTCTTTCACTTTAAGAATATGTTGTTTCAGGGTGATGGTATGCATTATGACCAGTAACCAAGTAACCAGCTGTACGGCAGGCACAATACTCACTGAGACTCTCCTCTCTTTCTCAGTCTACCTCCGAATGATGTCTAAAACGTGACACAGCAGAGATGTGTCGCTGACTGCCAAACATTAAACAGAAAGGAAGGAAGGAAAAGACTTGGAATCTGAAAAATTCTGGGTCCGGCACTGTTTATGGAAATTAACAATCCATGGAGTCAGGCCTGTTTCCTGGAATAGGAAGCGCTGTGATTCTTGGCATCGATATCACTAATAATTTGAGCTCTTAGCAACAGTAATACCATGCGGTGACACCATTATTTAGGTGATATCATTATTCTAGTCTGAATGAGTCACGGTAATGAATATCTTTTCTGTTAGCAGTCATTAAAATGAGCCAGTGCTCTTACAATGACTATGTGTATTTAACATAAGCTGACAATGTGGCAGCACACATTTTATTTATGAGCCAAGCTTGAAGTTTCATGGCTTTTAGTGAGTATTAAGGATCTTTCCTCAAGTAAAACACTGCTTTATGAACAGTTTTATGTGAGTCAGTCTCTTTTTATGCAGTACATCAATAGACAATCAGCTCTTAACAGTGAACTCCTTTTACATACAGCCTCAACAGACTGGGACTGATTGAGAGTTAAAACGTCATTTTAGTTTAACTACCAACACTGTAAAGTATCAGAAACCATAAACTACAGATAAATTATTAACAGACAGTGATACTGTGGGCTTTCAGGAAATAGTGTTGCATTAGAATTAAAGACAGCAATCCAGTGTGATGAGTATAAAACTTGTAGAATACTGTTCTTTGCCCAAATAACCATTATTTCTATTAGAAGTCCATTACGGTCAGTGCAATTCTGTTTGCATCTCATGCACATTCAATTTATAATCATTTACTGATATGTTATTTTCACTAACCTCTGGTTAACTGCATTTAATACATCCAATAAAATGGTGTTTCCAAGTGGTATTAGTGTTGGCACCACTGTCACAAAGATAACCAGAACGCTTTCTGTTTTCCTCAGGGCCTAGCAACTACCAACAACACAAGACACAATGCATTTGGTTTTCCACAGTCCGTCATTTCCGTTACTAGGAATAGTACCTGCAAAAAACCTACACTGATACTCTTTGGTAACTGGGATAACTACTGATAGCTACCAGGGGGAAAGGTGCTATCCTCTTCCAGTTTTAGTTGCACAATGGTTGACGCACTTCCTTTGTGCTGTAAAGTGAGCCTTCATTTTCCAGGTAGATGGTACCAGGTGGCAGACAGAATGACACAGTGAAAGCGACGCTTGTAGGGAACCAATCTAAACGCTGATAGTGTCATTATTCTTAAGCCATTTGTGAAATCAACATTTACCGCATAATGATAAAGCAAAACACTATGTCCACTATATCCAGCACAATTTTTAGACACTTGTACTTCATTTAAATATTTCCATTTTATGCTACTTTTATTTGACTAGATCTCAGAAGCAAATATTGTGTGTTTTACTCCATTATATTTATGTTGAAGTTTTAATTACTAGTTATTTACAAATGATCTAATAGGTTATAGTGTCCGTTAAGCCACCCAGCAGTATGCAGAGTAATTAGAGGGAGCTCCACCTTCACCAGCTGCAACTCTTTAAGAGATCTCATCTCTTTGTATAGATCACAGCTTTTGCGTGGGGAGTAGCGTTCACCTCCTTGAGGCCTCGTTTTGTGCGTGCTCAGTATTTATAAATCAGACCCCAGGTGATTTAAACCACTATAAAACAAAAATCAAGCGGTTTCATGTTGCAAATCAGAGTCTCTACAACACTGTTTGGCATGTCAGAAATGGGCCGTTAGCCTAGCACCTGCTAATGTGCGCTCTGATAACTACGTATAAATAAACTAATAGGTTATAATGTACGATAAGCCACCCTGCAGTATAAAGAAATTAAAATGAGCTCCACATTTAAGTGATGTACGCATAAATACATCAATAATTATAATCTGATATTATAATTTAAGAAAAAAACATGTATATTTCCACTTTAAGCACAATTTTGAGGTATTTTATTTTAGTATTCCCATGCAAAGCTACTTCTACTCCACTACATCTCAGAGGCTAATACTGTACGCTTTACTCCATTATATTTATGTTAAAGCTTAAGTTATTTGCAAATTTAGATTATTGATACAAAAAATAAATGTACTAACAGGTTATAATGAAAGTAAAGCCACCCAGTAGTGCATAGAGTAATTAAAATGAGCTCCACCTTTACCAGCTGCAACATTAAAGTGATGAAATTATGACCCAATATTATAATTAAAGAATGCCTATTAATTCTTTGCAAAAATACCAGAGAACCCACAGAGACACTGCATGGCTATCAGCATAATCAGATAAAATTTTAAGTAGGGCTGCACAATTAATTGAAATATTATCAGATCACAACATGACCAAATGCCACACCCTTATCAGGAGAGCTGCAATTTTTTGATTAAGGTAAAATGTGTCACAACATACTACAATAAAAGACGATTGTGGTGCTACAGAGACGCCCTGGCTTACAAATTTTATTCCAGATGTAAGGGAACTTGCTTGTTTGGTACGGAATCCAGCAAATATCACATCATCATCATCATTTTATTTATTTTTTTTCCAGTGAAAATTAAATGCACAAAACTAATCCCTGTGACTCATGTTGCAATCGTAGATATCTGTCAAAAATAATTGTGATGTAATCTTATTTTGAAAAGTAATGGGGATTTTGCTGCTGGCAGTGTCATAGAAATCAAAAGAATTATTGAAATTTGATTAAAGCATGACCACATGGTGACCATCTAGACTCCACTGCAACCTTAACAAAGGAAAATTAGAAGCATTTCATTATACAGGACACAATCCAGCAGCGTGTGATGACCACTGATAGACCTCTCACAGACTCCTAGTAATTTCCTTTGAAACCACTCAGTATATCATGAAATAAGATTGATTTCTGGTTCTTTTAGGTGAACACAAAAAGAGTGTGAGCTGTCTCTGCACCTGAAATAGACCTCACCTACAAGATGTTGGTTTCCTGAAATGAATTCAGCCCAGCCCCCACTTTGTTACACCTTCAGTGAAACCTGCAGAGCAAATCAGTTCCAACTCCTCCCATTTGATTGAAATGCTAACAATGCTGGTCTTTTATGGTAATTTACATCTACACACTGCTGTGTGTGTCTGAAGGACCCCTTTCTTTCAGTTTTTCTACTGATTACAATAATTATCTTTTAGTTTCTATTTCACAGAGAGATCTCAACTGAAACACACACCAGCACACACACATCATCGTTCCCTTTGTCTGATCTCTAGTTCAAATAATTAGGAACGCCTCTGTTACCAGTTCTTTCCCATCTTTAAAGCCACTGATTCTCACACTGTAACATGAAAACAAAACCCATTCACAAGCAAACACACACAGACCCATTATTCCCCCAAAACCATCAACATATCACCCCAAACACATACCTGCAGGGGCAACAGAGTGTTGCTGTTGCTGTCTGTGCGAAACATGTTCTCCTCTATCCAGGATTTAGGCCCCAGTGATCCTCCAGAGCGTGGGAACTTGGGTGGAGCGATGATGTTGCTCGAGAAGGGCTTCTTCAGAGGCGAGACGTGGCTGACTGAGCCAGGTACGCCCATGCCACTCCCTCTGCGGTGGTCTCGGCCCCAGGACATCCCCCCCGAACCCCAGCCGTTCCCCTGGTGACTGCCCCAGGGAGACTGCTTCACCATGGGCTGCACACACACACACAGGACAGGGCACAGAGGGAGTGGAGGGATGGAAGGTTAAAAAGGGCACGTGCATCTCTTTCTGTATCATTTCCACTTTATTTCATCCTGTCTTTCTATCCTTTCTTTCCTCCCTGTCAGCCACAGCTTGATCTGCTCCTGTAACGGGTGGGTTGATAAGAAGATTTAAGGCTTTAAGTCTAATACTAAGTATCCCGTGCGCTGCGACACCACCAGCGTAACACACTCTCTCTCTCTCTACCTGGACCTTGTGTCAACTCTTAAGCATATCATACATCGAATCGCATCGCGCTTAATCTCGCGTGCTCTCACGTGAAAATCCTACTCAGAGGACAATCAACTTTCTGTTTCTCACACACTTGGTGCATGATGTGATCTAAATTCCTTTTCTCTTTGTGTCAACTGCAAACAGCTATGGGACGTCTGATAGTGGTGTGCCTTGAGAATAAAAAACAGGATACTGCAAGTGCTGTTAAAGGAAATGGACGCTCCTGGAGAGGTTGGATTTGAACCGTAGGAGACATTTATAATGTTAAAGTAGCTGTTTTACTCTTGTACAAAAGAAAAAATAATATTAACAAATTCATTCATTATTTTTTCTCCTTCTAAATGTCCAGTGTGGGATTTAGAGGGATACACTGGTAGACATGTAATATGATAAGTAATCACCTGAAAATAATTCAGTTTAATTCAGTTTTTTATTTATATAGCCCAATATCACAAATCATAATTTGCCTTTGCCAATTGGGCTTTACAACTTACAACACCCTCTGTTCTTCGACCCTCAGGATGAGGAAAAACTCCCAAACGTAACAAAAATACCCAAAAATAACAATTGTCATGTTTTTGTAACCTTAGAATGAGCAGTTTATATCTACATAGGGAGCGGGTCCTCGTACACAGAGTCCGCCATGTTGCACCGCCAAGAACAGACAAACCAAACACTGGCTCTAAGTAGCGCTATTTAAGTTTTCCCGTCAGCCACCGTAGTTAGCAGCCCATCTGCAACGAGCTGAGTAGCGTCGGGGAAAAAAGGTGATTTTTTTTTTTAATGTGAAACTGCTTTATTCCGTGTTTTTACCTGTTTAAATCACCAGTTCTGATTGTTTTGGAGAGGAACAGACCTCTGTGGATAATTCGGCTCCCGATAAAGACCTCCCAAAGGTCTGGATCTTAAGTTATTAAAGAAAATAGGTGAGCACTGATTAGCCCGTCTCTGACATGCCGAACTGCGTAGGAGAAACACTGATTTTCTAACATGAAACTGCTTTGTTCAGGGTCTTTATCGGTTTAAAGCACCGGGTCTGATTATTTTGGAAAGGAAGAGACCTCTGCGAATAATTCAGCTACCAGTAAAAACCTCTGTCTGAATCACATGAACACACGTTAGCAGATGCTAAGCTAAGGGCCTGTGATGTGTCAAACAGCTTCAGAGAAACACTGATTTGTAATGTGATTTGTAACGTTTCAACTGGTTTTAATCACCTGGTCTGTTTGTAATGGGGAAGAAAACACATCTGTGGGTGATTTGTCCTCTGGAAAAAAACTCCTGAGCAAAGAATCTGCAATCATCATCACTAGATGCCACTACACTGCCCTAAATCTTACACACTGGACCTTTAAATTTTTCTGCTTTGAATATGTTTATGTGCGTATGATGGTGGAACCAACAGGGCTGGCTGTCTTTGTCTTTCTATTACAACATTTACATAGCACTCATAATCAAAGCAAGGGGTTAAAGGACAGAGAAACAACACCATAAATGCACTTCAAAGCACACACACACACACAATGTGCAAATCACATGAGAAACCTGAGGCCAAAGGCTACAAACACGTAGGCCTCAAGACCACTGCACAATCTGAACCTTCATTCAGCCTGCTCCTTCCTTGGGGTCCCCTAACTGTCTGCACACACACACACACACACACACACACACACACACACACACACACACCCCTCTAAGATACTAGATGCCTTCATTTCACCCAAATAAGCTTCCATTTAGGACACCAAACCCTGCGAGCCTTTGTATTCCCACTGACTGAACCACAAGACAGGGATGGTCCGCTGCCATGTGACTGCATCCCACTGCCAGCTTCCACAGAGAACAACAGCTAGATTCAGTGATGCTCCCTTGTTCCCCTGATCACCCCTCCCTTCCTTTGCCTCAAGAGTAGTGACTTCAGCCCTTGCAGAGGACATGACAAATGCATTATGAGTAACAAAAAGACTACTTGTGCTTCAAAGACTCCTAATGTACACACACAACGCTTTATGGTGTCACAAGATGCTCCCTAACCTGAGGAGACCCTGGTGGTGGGCCTCACCACCCAACCTGACATCATGGTTCATATGTGCTAAGTAAAATGGAGCTGCTTTGGGCCTGAGGCCTAATGTTTGCTCATCAAATGTAACAGCAGTGGGAGAAATAAGACAGGAGAGCTGCCTCCATGCTGTGTCACCTTCATGTGATTGATGTCCTGTACCAGCTCACCTGATGTTGGTTGTAGTTGTTCCTCTGCTGCAGGAAGGCGCCCTGCTGGGGATGCATCTGCGGACTGACCGGGGACCTGCGACTCTGCGCCTGCTGAGGGACGTTTATCTGGGGCGAGAAAGGACCGCTGAAGCCCTGCACATTAATCCCGGCGCACGGATTAGCTGACACTGGCGAAAAACTCTGGAAGAAGGCCGGGTTGATGGAGGAGGGGATACCTGGGTAGAAGCTGTTGTCAGAGTCCGTGTTGGGCATCTGGTTAATGGCGTTGGCGTGGATGGGGTTGATGGAGTTGGGTGCGGGAGGGGGCGAGGAGCTGGTCTGCACGGACCACGGGGTGCCGAACCCAGGTATCGAGGGTGAAGACGAGCCTACGCTGGCGCTCTGCATCTCCTGGGTGGGGAGGTTCGGGAAAGCGGCGCTGAGACCTCCGGACAACATGTTGCCGGTGCTGCTGCTGCTGCCATTGCCGTTATTTATATGGTGGGCGATGGGGGAGTCCATTTGGATCTTGTGTGGATTTACAGAAGTGGGCGATGGCGACGCAGCATCGGCTTGAGCCTCTTCCACTGGAGAGCCGCAGGGGTCAGCAGCGTTGTGCCCGGGCTGCCTCTGCGGCAGGTGACTGAAATGTCTCTGGGGTGGGGGCGACTCTGTGGGGCTAAACTCAGTGTGCTGACTTAACTGCTGATGTATTTTTCGGCTGTGCTGAAGGTCACACAGAGACTGCGTAGGGCAAAAATGATCTCGATCGAAATCGGGGAAAGCTCTCTTCTGGTTCAGATGGTTATAATCCGGCGTCACGGAGCTCGGCTGGCTGTCCTGGTTGTCGGTTCGGCGCCCGGATTTGCTAACCGTGCTTCTCTCGCTGTCCTTTTCCTCGGTTGACGGGGGTAATTGCGTGGTTGTCACCCCCACAGGCTCATCCTGCATGTTTTGCTGATGCGCAGCAGCTGACAGGAACAGCGGGGACGCGGAGACGCTGCTGAAGGGCGAACCGGGGCGCAGGAAACCGGCAGGACGAGGCGCAGGATCCGGCAGCCGGCTAAACGACACCGAATTCGGCTTTTAAATGAAAATATACCTAAACCTCCGTTTGTGAATGAGGTCTGTTTGATAGGATCTGTGAATAGGCTGTAGGCTGAAGGCAGACACAGAGAGGAGGGGGTCTGGCCTTCGCTAAAACTCGGCTCGTTCTGGTCCTACTCTCGTTTTGACTCGGTGATATTATCATGTATCTAAAGACCGAGATATGTCGGCCTCACTGTAGGCTAGCCTTGCCTGTGCGGTCCATTCCCGTCCGACCGTGCTCCCCCCTCCTCTGGTTACCGGCTGCGCTGCTGCGGCAGAGGATTAAAGATCCCCGACTGAAACTACGTCACGACCGCATCACGCCTCGGTGCGCCCGCCTCCAGCCTCGAGCCCGAGCTGCAAAGAGGACCGCATTGTTTACGTCATTTTTTTCATTATTCATAAAGTGCAGTAGGCCTACACCCTCACCGAGCCCCGGGAAGTAGCCTACAGTGGGCTGAGGGACACTGTGGGCTTAATCACAGACAAATATGTCATTATTTTCCTGAAGAGAGTTACAGTGAGTCTGTTTCTCATTAATGAGTTTATAATGATACTGTGGTTGCCCTATAATATAATGTGAGTGCTGGGCTATCATGTGGGCTGAAACTATGTCATAGTTTTGTCATGTTTATATGGTAAGTATTTAATGTTGTCTTACTTACACTACTCTTGAATGTATATCATATATGACACACACACACTGTGCACATTTCTTATTCTTATTTCTCTCTATAAATGTAAATTGAAGCATAACAGATATATTTTTATATTTCTAAAGACTAGCCTACATATTAGTTTTATACATTTTCACATACTTTCCATAGCATAATGCACATAATTTTTGCAATGTTAAATATTTTACATACTGGTGTTAAACATTACAGCACAATGCACATATTTTATATAACTTTTACATACTTTGCATACTGAGGATAAGACACATATTTTTTATATTTCTAAAAACACCACATACAAGTTGTATACACTGGAGCATAATGGGCATATTTTGTATATTTTCACACACTTTCCATACTTATTATAAACATTATAAACATATATTTTTGTATTGTTAAATACAAAGCGACTGCAATGTCTCAATTTTCCCCTAAGGCATAAAGAATGTCTGATTTATTTGGAATCAACTGATTTTTATTTCCCATTCAACCTCGAACAGACTCTGTATTAATCAGGGACTTCTTCCTACTCAAAGCCAATTAAAGTCCTACAAGATCAGGATGAATGAAACTCCAGAATGTGCCATGTCACATTATGTTAATGACGTCATCTGCTCGCTTTTGAATGAGAAAGTCTCCGCTGACACGTCTTCATTAAAACTTACTAGACTACACGGTGTGGCACAGCTTGCTGCGTCTTGTGCCCATCAGTATTCAGTCCACAACCATTGTGCGTGCGTCTGCGCCAGCGTCACTTTACGCACGGACGCCAACAGCTAAATATAGTTTTCTATGTCAGCGCGTGTCAAGGGAGATGAATCTTCATCGCCTGTTTCTGAACTCAAAGCTGACAAGCAACCCTACCATATGATCTGCCTCATAAATGGCCCCCACCACCAGCAGCACTATATGGCTACTGGCAAATTACATTTTCGTGTGTATGGGAAAGAGTGAGTGTGTTTGTGTGTGTGTGTTTGACTGTGCTCATTTCTGTTTGAGGACTAAAGAGAGAAACAACAGAGGGTCACTCTTCCCGTCAGCAGATGAAGAGCAGATGACTTTTATTCAAGTACAAAACAAGTATCAGCCGGGGGAGATGTAAATAAGTAACACTTCAGTTTGTTTGTACAAAAAGAGTTAAAGCTGGATTCATATTTTGGTGTATTATCCCGGAGCCTTTGGTGTGAACAGAAGGGATTATTTGTTGTATAACATAAACAGACAAGGATCATTTCTCTTTCTCATGATTGGAGCTGAATAAATCATCGCAGTCACTGTGTGTTAATGTGGTTCTAATGAGGAAGACAGATACCAGAGAAGCAAAGCAATGTGCATGATCAACTTACCATCTGGTGGCTGCTAATGATGAGAGCTTATCTAAGCACAAACTACACACAGCTCTCCACCCTGCATTGTCACCTATACAATGCTTTTATTTCAGTCAGAAGCACCTGATCACAAAAGCAATTCATAACCTCTCCTAAAACTCAGGGAATATTTTTAGACTAAACATTATAAAGTTTGTTTTTATGATTGCTGGGCGTCTGCCAAGTGTGTACACAGGAAGGGTTTGGAGCACACACATTGTTAAAGCATTTCCTGCGTGTATAAAAGTTATAGTGATGAGAATGTTACATTCCCATCTTTGTAACACATTAGCCTCATCAGTTTGACTCCACTCACTGATGTTTTGATTTCTCCCTTTTCTCAGCACCTTGTGCAGTTCTGGGAAGTAAGAAGACACCCCCGCAGATATTCCCCATCGTAAGGTCCCAGATGGGACAGTCCCACCAGTGAGGGGGCAGGTGTGGTGGCCACGGATGGTGCTGAGCACCAGTGATTAGCCAGGCCCAGTAAGTGCTGGAGGGAGCTAAATGGGGCAGGCTGCCAGCTGCTGGTGTCTGATGATGACGGGCTGGGGGAAGGGGTGAACCAGGGTGGGTAGGGTGGAGGTGGGGGTGGTGTTAAAGGGAGAGGAAGGGGTCTATTCTCTGACTCCCAGCTGCCCTGCCACATACAGAATGTGTCAATCCAAATGTCTGACTTAAGCATAGTTCTGCACATTTGTAGTCACCTTTAGATTTTGCTGCGTTGTCTGTGCATGCAAATATAAACATGCGGACACAAACATATCAGAACAAATGAACATATGTGATCATGCATGTGGATGCATTATATAAAGTGTGAAGAATAAAGCACAAACACTTTCACTTTAACCAGGTTACTGGTTGCTACTGCTGGTTATTAGGAAGCACCTGGCCCACTATCACATGTCACTGTGTTTGTAAAGCTAGCTCTATTTAGGTCTCTGTCAGTGTGGATGGCTGTCACACCGCAGCTGCAGTCGTCATAGCAACAGGTAATCTGCATTCCCTTTTGTGTGGCTGATTACTCTGTTTGACTCAGGGCTGTCACTCTGTATGTTTGAAGGGCTGGGCGGAGAGCATTGATCAGCTCATCCTGTTTGACAGACCTATCCATCAACGGTGATGACTCTATTCTGGGATCGTTGGGATGTGTTCCATCTCTTATAATCCTATCTCAGCGTACAGGAAGTATGTGTCCTGTAGTGTGCCAGTCAATGCTTTGTATTTCAGTGGTGTCATCGAGCAGAGGTGGCAACGATTTACTTTCTCGGTAAAAACCACAAGATTTAAATCCGATTTTCACAGTCCATCCACCTGTGCTTCCTTATTATTAAAGGCTCAGTTCACCGACATGACAAAAAATATATTTCCTCATTTACCTAGGGTGGCACCTACCTTCGCAGACCAGTTTGTTTTAAGTTCTTTAGGTTTTCCGATATCTGTCTCTGAGATGCCTGCCTCCACCTCAATGTAATGAAGTTATAAATTGATAAAATAAATAAAAAAGCAACTTTTATTTGCCCACATTACTCTGGATAATGAAGAGAACCTACTTAGTGGAACTATTTTGCACTGTAGAAATAGTCTTTAAGAAAACTGTTCACAATGCAGTTAAATGATCAGGTTTGCTGACAAGAACAACCAAATAATCAAATTGCAAGTAAAGCTGGCATTGTAAGTTTCTGCAAACTGCAGATACATAACATTTGCATGTTATTATGTAGCAGATACAATGCTGTGGTTAACATGAGGTTAGGTTTAGGCACAAAAACACTTGGTTATATTTGGGAAAAGATCATTTTTTGGCTTAAAATACCCCGTTTGGGGGAAACACAGCGATGTCTTGGTAAAAACAATTGCTTTTTGGACCACTATCTCATCATGAAAAGCAGCAATGTTTTGGTAAAAAACAACTGCTTATTGTGCCTGAAAACTGCTGGAAAAACAACGATGGGTCATTAAAAAAGCTGCAAGAATGACAGTGATGGGTCGCTAAAAAGCAGATATGTCTTGGTGAAAAACAATCGCCTCTTGTGCCACTATCCGGGCAGGAAAAGCAGCAATGTCTCACTGAAAAACAAGTGCTTTTTGGGCCACTATCCTATCATGAAAAGCAGCAATGTCTTGGTGAAAAAATACGACTGCTTATTGTGCCTAACAAGCTGCTGGAAAAACAGTGATGGGTCACAAAAAAGCAGTAATGTCTTGGTGAAAAACAATCGCTTTTTAAGCCTCATCCAGGCGGGGAAAGCAGCCATGTCTTGCTCAGAAACAGCTGCTTATTGTGCCTAAAAAAAAGCTGGAAACAGCACTGACTCAATAAATCACAATCGGTTTTGCTGTTTGTCAGTCTGGAACAATGGTCTGCAGCTTGGCAGGGGTCTTGCCTAGGTGTCACACCATCCACCATCCCCTCCACCTCCAGATGACAAAGCCAGCTTATATATTACATCACTATATGATATGATATGTATGAAACATGGGAATTTAACATTTTCATGGTTGGCAAAAATGTACTTTTTTTATAGTTTGGTTGAACTGGCCCTTTAACTTGTCACTGTTCCCCTATTCATCTAGACTCGAGGACAACAAGGCTTGTTCCACCTGAGGTTATGATTCTGCATGGCAGGCTGCAGTTTTAATGCCAGCTCATGGGAGGGTTTTTGTTCAGATTTGCACCCGGCGTGGCCTCCAGGACGGAGGTGTCTTTGTTGCAGTAAATTGTCCCTTTGTTGTTGTCTCTCTGGGCACTGAATAGCTCTTTGTGTTGCTGACTGATAAAGCTTCTGCAAACAGCCATCTCACTCACACATATGCGCACATACACAAACACAGCCACGCAGCCAGAGGTGTCGCTAACGATGTTACATCTAAGTTAGATCACAAACTGACAGATCCACATACAGTGTGACAGTAGATGCCTGGATAAGATTATCTAAACTGGGCCTCGTCCTTACTGGTCACACCTGCTATTCCCACTTTGAGCCACTATTCCTTCAGAATCAATCGAAAGGGCCCTCCCACCTATGATTGGTATTATTCTGTGAGACTGAATGAGCAGTAGGTCGGTATCCGAGTGGCACATATTTGCATTTTATGGCCCACTGCAGAAGGCTTGCGGGACTGATTAGGTGGTTGGTTACTCCAGGGCTGGAGGACTGAGACCAGGCGGGCACATCTGTCATGGTTTACACATATTAGAAGTGCAGAAGGGTGTGACTATCCTCATCAGACTGGG